CCCCGTGCCTTGTGCTGGACACCCTGGCATGTTTTTACGGGCTCGTGCAAGGCTGTACCTCCCAGCTCTGGATGCGCACGGTGCTGGACAGCGACGGTTCCCTGCCCGTGGGAGGACCGACAGCCAGGAGCAATTCCCGGATGCAGAAGGCTGTTATTGGTGGCCCCAAGCCAGGAGTTGGAAACGGTTCTCGGGAAGGAGCTCATCAGTGCTCGAGTGCCTCCAGCCAGGGCGTGCAGGGTGCTGCGGACATGCACAAACATCAGAATGTGAGCAAAAAAGGTTCTTTTTCAGGTGAGTTTATCTCCACTTGGCTTTACGCGTGTCCCTTCCAGCCTTTGGTGGAGGCTGTCCCTTGTGGTGCCACCAACAGGTTCTGGGGCCAGCAGCCTGGCAAGAAAAGACACAAGAAATGGTGACAAGTGGTCCTCCCTGAGCTTCCCACGAGACCAGAAGAGGAGGGAGCAGGCAGAAGCCCTGTCACAGAGAAGGACAAACCGATTTACACACTGCTGCCATCCTCTGAGTACAGAGGATGAGCATCAGCCAAATTGAGAGGCCGGGCTGCTCTCCCTGCTGATGCTCAGGAAACATCCCCGAGGGCCACGGGAGGTCCACGTGCGAGCAGCACGAAGCAGAGGTCGGCTGCCTGTGTTTGGGAATCCTGGCCAGCAATTTTGCAATCCGATTTCGCCATTTCGTGTTGCTCTCTGTGTAAGCACGGCATCCACAAAAAGTCAACCCACAGAGAGCCCGGGGTGCTCTGACTTCCCCTGAAGGCAACTTTCAGCTGGGAAGGGCGTGCTGGAGCCCCCAAGACACCTTAGGCTAACGGCACGCTGTGGCCAGCGGCTTCCCAGCTCCGCAGCTGTGACAGAAATCATTTAATTCTCTTCTTTCCAAATTTGCTCATTTCAGTGTCGCTGGAAATCCCCTGTTCCTAAGACATGTTGTTTTCTCATCATCCCAGAAGCTCGCATCATCACCGTGTCCTAATGCCTCCAACATCCTCCTGGCCTCAGGTCACCGATCCCAGTTTCCTCGTCCTCTCTTCCCAGCAGAGTTCTGGGGACTTCCACGATGGGGAAAGGCATTTTTGTCCCCACCCTTTATAATGCTCCCATTCTCAGCTCTGTCCCCTCGCTCTGAGTTATCCCCACACGCAGCTCCCTAAAGAGCTCCGCTCTGTTTGGCTGAAAGGTTTTCAGGCTCTGAGAGGGGCTCATCCATCAGCCGGAGATTTGGCAGCTTTCCTGGGACTGTCAGTTCCCAAGAACAAACAGCTGCAAAGGCACCGTCCTCTTCCCGGCATCGGGGAGGAGCACGCATGGTTTCAGCCCATTGCAGGGAAACAGCCAAGCACCAGAACCATGCCCTGGAGCCAGCAGCACTCAGCCCAGGGGCTGTCTCCAGCCCGGATCAGTCCCCTCCTTGTCCCCGCGTGGCTCGGAGACGACGGCGCCCTCCGAGCATCGCCACGATGTGCTGGGACTGGAGCTGAGCTCAGCACCGTGCTGCGTGCTCCCATCCGGCACAGCAAGGACACGTTGGGTGTGTGTCCTCAGGGGACACAACCGCGTGATGAGAGCCTTCCCCCTTTGTAAATCCTCGTGCACAAACCCTCTCCGTGACCGTCAGCCGCCCACCCATGCCCAAGGAGCAGGCGTTGCTCTCCTGGGAGCCCCCTGGCTCCGAGCACACCTTGCTCCATGCGGCAGGCGCCGTTCCCACTGCTGGCACCCAGCCCTTCGCCAGCCCAGCTCTCCGGCTCGTCCAGCCAGGCTGTCTCTTTGTCCTGGTAAATTAAACGTGTCCAGGAGCTGTTCTGCGGCACTGCTGCTGGCTGGCATCGCCCAGCCCATATCCAGGCGCTCAAACTCATCCCTTCAAGCTCCACCAGGGAGCCCGGCACACAAAGTGCTCCTCAGCACAGTCCCTGCCCAGCAAAACCTCCCCGTGCCCAGCCAGGAACAGTCGGGGAGAGCACGATTTGGCCCAAACCAAACCCATCTAGAGACGCTGCTGTGAATGCGATCCAGTGGCAATCCCTTGGCGCTGGTTAACTCACTAAAGCGGGCATTTGGCCACATCTGCGAGGAAACAGCGGAGTTTTCCCCCCGAGCACTGGGCTCTGAGTTGGAGGGAGCCTCGGCGATGCCTCCTGCAGCGCAGCCTGCCCTCCACGAGCTGAAGGGGAGGTTGGGTTCTGCAAGTTGCCTTCCCCGGGGGTTTTAGCAGGCTCTCCTTGGGGAGGAGCTGTGCTTTTATGTGTTGTGGATTTGAGGGAAAACCGCTCGCTGTGTCCTCTGGAGGAGGACAAGTCCCCTCGGCAGCGGTTTCCTCTCCCCCTGCCTCTTTTCCACGCTTACCACAGCTTTGGTGCCTTGCACAGCATCGTTCACCTCCCTCGAAGGCAGGATGGGACCAGTCCTGAGCTCCCTTTCCCAACAGCACGTTGGTGGCAAAGCAAAGCAGAGTGGAGACAGCCCAGAGGCCTGACATCAGCTCTGGCTCCTGGGGAAAGGCAGCTCTCAGATTCCCAGCCCAGCTCTGCTCCTGACCGCAGGCAGGGAGGCAGAGCTCTGGTCACCCAGCTCCTTCCTCCACAGCTCTTTGCTTCCCTCCCAGCTCCTGGTGCGCCTGCCAGGATGATTGCTTTTTTTTTTTTTTTTTTTTTTTTTTTCGGTGTTCAACCCTGAGAAGTCATATTTAACAGCTCTGTTATTATTCAGAGCTTACGTAACTCTTCACACGGCAGAAAACTGTGCAGCCTCTTCACTGCTGGCTCGCCGGCCGCCAAACGCCGCGGGGCTTCTCCCTCCCCACACGTGGGGATTTGCACAGACAGCCCCCGGCACAGCGCAGCTGCATTCACAGCAACACCTCGGTCACCTCCGCTCACCGCAGCCCACGCATCTTCTGCATGCTCCAGGAGCTCCTTTTCCTTAGGTCTTCCCTCCTTGCAGCCATCCTCTCCGTGGTGGAGGTGCCGGGGGGAAGCTGGGCTGGAGAAGACACCCAGGGGTGCTGCTGGGCTCTCCGGGTGGCAGTGCCAAACCTCGAGTTCACCAAGGGTGAGGTGTTTTGGGGAGCTGCACCCATAGGTGAGGTGGCCTGGAGAGAAACACCAAGGTCCATGGGGAGATGCAGAAGCACCTAAATGGAGAGGGAGAGGAGCACAGAGGAAAGGAAGGGCTGGGGCTCACTGCTTGGAGGTGGGACACCCAAGTGGCCCTCACAAAGGGTCTCCAGCTCTGAGAACAGCCACGGAGAGGGACCCGAGGCAGGGCTGGGCCTCCTCTAGGTGCTCCCAGGGATGCTGGTTGGCAGCCGAAAAGCCTTGCCAAAATCAGTTCCAACAGCAGCCACTGCTCCCTCTTTTCCATCACAGCCATCCCCAGACATCCCCAGACCAGCCTGGAGGCAAGGCTCTTTCCTGCAACCGGGCAGGGGAGAGTTAAGCCAACCCTTTTTATTTCTATTTGATCCAATCTGTCTCCTTAAGCTATCGCTGCTCAGCATTTTAGTTCATATTACAATAAAACCTGCCTTGTTTGAGTTTAAAAGCCTCTTGGTTTCTTTGGAAGGATGGCTGTAAGAGCAGATCAAGACAGATCACCACGAGGCTCTGGCCAGCTCTGCCTTCACATTTATTTGAACCAGAGCAATTCACCTGTCAAATAAGAGGTGCCCAGAGCAAGCTGAAACACTTTGCTGTCCCTGGGGACTGTAAAAAAGTCAAGACATCACATCCAGCACCCACGGAGATGCCTGTCCCCGCACACCTACACACGGGAGGCTTAACCCCAAGCTGAATTCACCTCCCCAGCCTGGTGTCAGAGCTTTGGGGCTGGCTGTGATGCCTGAATACGAGCACCCGGTGCCACTCGAGGTGCCTCTGGGTGCTCCAGCCCCATTCCCGGAGCGCAGAACCCCAGCCCATGCATCCCCCCCCCCAGCCCAGGAGCTGTCCTGTGGTGGTGGGCACAGTGTGGGGCCAGCCTGGAGCAGCCCCATCCGAGGGCCTTGTTTCTGACCAGTTTTCAGCCTGCTGATTTCTAACACTCCTCCCGGTTGTTGGAGCAGCCTGGAGATGACAGCAGTAAACACTTGTGTTTGGACAAGCCAGACTTCTCGTCTTCAGCATCTGCCGAGTTTTACAGTTTGAGCACAAATTGCCTTCTTTAAAAGCATTCTTTCCTGGAATTACCACGTTGTTTTTGCCACCTCATGCTGCTGCCTCAGGAACTGCCTGCACCCAGTGCTCGGTGCTGCTTGCTCCAGCAGCACGCCTCTCCACCACAAACTGGACATTCGCCGTGCAAAAGAGAGAGCAGCGAGCACAATCCCATCCCCCTGGAGCTCACCTGCACAATGGCAAACCAAGGACTCCCTGCTACGAGGCATCCCCAGGCTGAGGCTGATTTCTATCGGTAGCCGATGGACCACGTAACGAGCAGCCAGCCAGGAGTTAGCATTTCATTGAGCAATCCTAGCAGGAATTACCACCAAATTTGTAGCTGGCCTGAAGTTGAAGCATCATCGATACAAAAGGGAGCAGGGTTATTGCACAAGAAGGACTGCCTGATGTTGAGGTCTGGAGTAACATCACTCCGCTGTAATTGAAGGGAGGAAATACCAGCTGTGTGCTTAGGAGCTGATCCCTGAGGATTTCGGCTCAAAAACGGGAGTCCATCAGTTCGAAACGACAGAACTTGGTTTGTTCAATGCAACAAAGCGAAGGCTAAGGAGACACAGAAATGCCTGCTATAAATACGGCAGGGAAGTAAACACCATGGAGAGAGAAGACCTATTTAATCCAAAGCACAAATTGGCACAAGAATAAATAAATATAAATTTGCCATGAACATAGGCTGAAAATTAATAGGATTCTAACCACCAGAGAAGTAATGTTCTAAAACAACCTTTTGACAAGCAGGAAACCATACTGATTTCAGGATGGCTTTTGAACCATTTATAGTTCATAGGAGGACAAGGACAATAGTGGACAACGTGTTTAATGTCTTAGAAATCTGTATACACAAACATTAGAAACAGAACAAACAGGAGGAGCTCGAATTCTTCACACAAAGCAAAATTCTGATTTAATTGGCGTAACAGGGGCTTGTTGGGATAACTTATGTCTGGAATATTAATATCCAACTGTATAGCTTGTTCAGGAAGGGCGAACAAGGAGAAAAAGGAGGATATCAAGAGCATAGGTACATTCTCTAAGACTGCAGGAGGAAATAGGCTCTGAATAAGAATTAAAGAAGGAAAAATGGGTGCTGCTAGAGCAGAGGCATATAACTAGGAAGAGAAAACAGAACAGCCATTTTAATGAGTGGTTTGCAAAATCATCTGAAAGATGGTACGTGGTGGTAGCGAGGGATTTTAGCTACTCAGAATTGCTTGACAGGGATCCTGTAAATCATTGATTGCTTGGCAAATTTTATGACTGCATTGGTAGAGCAGTTCTTACCCGAAAGGTAAAACAGACAAACAAAAAAGCTAAAGCTGTCTAGATTTGCTTCTGGCCAAAAGGGAAGGATAACAAGACAAAAACAGCTGCTTCATAAACTGGTAGAATCAGTGAGGTTGAGCAGAGGGAAGGCAAATCTATGCAGATTGCTAAAAAGAACTTGTGGCTACTTAGAGAAACAACAGCAACAAATGCAGACTGTTCTGATGAAGAAGAAGCAGTCAAAATTAATTAAAAGATCACCTTTTCAAAACCACAAACTGACTGGTTTCAAACATGGGGCAGAAGTGAAAAGAAAAAAAAAACACTTCAGGTTACTTGGGATGGATGGTTAAAAGCTCGAGGAATTGGGGACAAAGTCTGCGGGTCCAGGCTCCAAAGGATATAAAGCCTGAGAGGATGGGGAGGCACCGAGAGCTGCTCTGTCAGCAAGCAGAGGGCGAAGGTGAGAGGTGGTCCAGTGCTCCACCACGCAGAACTGGTGCTGGGAGGTGACAGGCACAAGCACGACGCTCCTTTTGCTTTTCTGCCTTTACTAAAAAGGGAGCTCCTCCCGCGAGCCCCAGCGACAGAAGTGTGAAATCTTCAGCAAAATGACGGAAAGAGGGAACAGATTAGAAAGTCCTTAGACGGGTTATTTTTTAGATTAGCCGGGGTTGATCATGGAGGGCTCCTGAACCCGCAGATCCAGAGCGTTCAGCAGTTGTCTTCAAGAATCCTCTCGATGTCACAGGGAAGATGCCATATACAGGGATTTTCATAAAGCTTTTGACACCATCTTGTATGACATTCCTATAAATGAAGTAGAGAAAGTCATCTAAGTTAAGCTTCTCTAAATCAAGTGCAAAACCAGCTGGAAAATCTACTTGGGAGATAGTTTAGCTCAAAATAGGAAAATATATCAAGTGGAAATCTGGCCTAGGCCTACCATTATTCACTGTTTTCATACCTGACTTTCATGATGGCATAAAGACATTTCTTATTAAACCTGCAGGCGGATCAACTTAAAAGCCAGGATTAGAATTCAAAACAAGCTTGATAAATTGGGAGAAACGGCCTGCAAAAAAAAAAATAGGCTGCAATTTAGGAAGGGCACGTGCAAGCTCCTGTGCCCACGTAAGGATTTACAGATTAGGGAACAAACTGCTCTAAAATAACATAGACAGAGGTGGGCACCACACCAAATGGGAGGCAACCATACTGTGTTACTGCAAATATGGGGTGCATCGTGCCAGAGTGTATAAATCAGCTTATAAACTGGGGTCCCACGAACACCTGTAAGGAATGGTCCTTCCCTAGGTCCCTACCCCGTGGGTAAGAATTTTTTTTCCTTATCTCTAGCACAAGTTTCCCTCAAAGCAGGCTGAGGCCATTGCCTCTCACATTCTCCATTTTCCCTGGGTATCTTTTTCCAGGGCATCTTTTTTATTCACTCCTAGTGATTTTCCTTTGAATAATCCTTTGAATGCATTTACTGGCATTTAATGCATTTAATGGCATTGTGATGGTCTGAGCAAAGATGCGTTGCATTAACGTGTAAATATCCAGCGTATTAATCTCAGCTACAAGGTGGATGCCAGGCATTTCGTAAGGATGCTTTCTCCCACAAGGATGACAAAGTGTGTTTGTTTCTCTATAATTACAAGCGGGAGTACACCTCCACACTTCACACTTCAGCTCTGCTTGTCTATTTATTGCAGTTTTGGCAAATTCATATGTCACTGAACGGGACCCTCTTGTTTGGTTTCTTGACTTTTCTGCTCAAATTTGTCTGTTTTGCTGTTCTGAAGATTTACTGGCTTGGGTGTTTTTTTAGCTTTCTCAAACTCTTGGTCAAGCATTTGTGTCCCTTCTTGCTGCAGCCCTTCATCATTTATCTGATGAAGGATGTCTTAGGGAGACCAAATTAAGCATGCCTCCTAAGCATTAAATCTGCAACATATTTCAAAGACTTTCTTGTGCCTCCTGCAATACCACAGGAGAAGAGGAATCCTTCATATTTAAGATCCTGGGAATGAATTCCCTAAAACACAGAGGGAAAAAGGTGGAGGATGGGGGACTGGGATGCAGTCCAAGTATCATTCATGCTATCTATGTATCACTTTTGGTCCTAGAACACATGGCAGCATTAAGGTGCTGACATGCTTGTTAGCCTTTAAGGTGTATTAAATATGAAATGCTGCAGGGAAAAAGAAAAAAAAAAAAAAAAGTGCCTCTGCCCTAGAGGGGGAGAATTGCAAGTATTTATGGCCAGGCTTTCAAACAAATCCTCGTGGCCAGAGACCAGCTCTCCAAGCCACACTGAAGGGCAGCGTGGGACTCTCCAGCCCCAAACAGCTCAGCAACAGCCTGCAGTGACTTCCTCGAGTGGTCAGAAAGGTCAGGTGGGTGATGACTATTTTTCCCATTCTGCAGTGAAAAAGCAGTGAATACGATCAAGCAAAGGAGCCTTTTTTTGCTTTCCTCCATCCAGCCTCATCAGAGACACAAGCTCCCTTCTCTCACCCTATATCTCCCTGAGGTGCAAGGCTGTGGATGCTGCCCCTGGATGCAGCCCCTTGGTAGCTTCCAGCCCCAAACTGGGCACACCAGTAGCCTCCGTCTTTACTGCAGCAGGAGCACTCTGCACCAAACAGCAAAGTTTGAAAACAAGCCCTTTGGCAAAGCCTGGAACTTACTCAAAACAAACCAGGAGCAGCCACAAGGATCTCCTTGCTGTGGCTTTTTGCCCCGTGAGGCTAAATTTGGGGTGCCGACCACCAGGGCATTGTGGAAGGAAGCTGGGGCTGGCGCAGGGCTTCCCAGGCAGGTTTAGATTTGCTTATCCTAAATAAAACTGCACCACTGAAAAATGCTGTCACTCACAATTTATCTCATTTTCTAGTGAATATGTCGAGGACTGCCAGCTCCAGCACAGATCTTCACACCACTCCACACCTAATTCTCCTTCCCTGTGAAAACTAAATATTCATTCCAGTCTTTGCTCCCTATCCTTTAACATGTTATTACTCCCTGCAAGGACTTTCCCCTCAAACCGTGACTGCTGAATTTCCTTCAGAGCTGTTACAGAAGGGCTTTTCCCACACTTCTGTAAATCCAAATATCCACTATCACCTGGACCCCGTTAGTCAAATAGCTGTTAATACCTTCTAGGACACTGAAGAAGCATGTCAGGTGAAATCCCTGCCAACACCACAGCTGTTGGTAGGGCTGGTGATGTTTTCTGGCCACCTTTTCCTTTTTGCCTTATATACGAGTTCAGGCAGCTGGAACTGCTCTGATGAGTCTTTCTGCAAGCTTTCAAATCCATCTGTTCCTGATACTCTGTGCTTCCCTTCATATCAGAGCCTCCAGAGTTGGTATTTAACACTCCTTAGCTTTCCCTGATTCCATTTTTATGTAAATACACATTTATCATGTTTGCCTGAGGAGAAAGTATTTGTGGTTTCAAATTCCCCAGTGCTGCCTAATGCTTGCATGCACAGCCTTTAAATGCTGTGACCCTTCTGTCAGGGAGACAGTGGAGATTTCGAGAGGATCTAAAGCCAATTATTCTAACTCCTGTACACCAAAGGGCAATGAGTTGGTTAAACTTACCATTTGTGCTGCTCTAATTCCACGGCGACAGAAACCTGTTGGGAAGTTGGGATTCCTCTGGCAGCACGCGGAGGCACCAGCGGTGTCACCACCTCATGGGGACATGTGCCAGGGACCTCTGTCAACAGAGACCAGGGCATGGCAGCTCTCAGGCCAGAGCAGATATCTGAAAAAAAATATGAAAGAGGCCCTCTAAGACGTGCCTTGTCCTCTTCACCAGCGGTACCGAGAGTATTGGGAACTAGCTCAGGTGGCCTCACGATTTGTGGATATCTGTAGTGAAGTGACATGATTTAATTAATGAAATCATTGATCCAAGAGGGCCTGAGGCTGTCAGCTGGATGCCTGGGTTTCTGGTTTCTTGCTTCCCAAGAAGACAGGAACAGAAAATGGCCCAGGAGCTGGACAAACCACAGCATAAGGAGTGGCCACGCACAGCACCCGAGAGAAACCGAGGCAGGCTTGCCAGAAAGCCTGATGTGTGCTGATGTGGAGACCAACTGGGGAGCATCATCAGCACAGATGGACACTGTGTTCTGCCTGGAGGGAGGGCTGGAAAATTTCTTACCTGTCATTAGATCACCATGAGGCCAAAGACCCATTTTTTCCACCACAAAAAATGTCACATAATTATTGCAAGTTCCCTTTTGGGTGACCTAGTGCCCCAGATTTCCCTTCAAACGTTGCTCTCTCTGTAAGGAGGTCACATCTTGCTTCACAGGAAAGGAAGAACAAATCCAGGGGCAGCTCCCCAGCTTTCGGGATGGGGAGAAACACGACTCCCTTACAGCGAGAAATGTTGGAGAAAACTGGGAATTCCTGCCCTGGCCCAAGGTAAAAACCTGTGCAGACTTCTGGGTCTGCTAGTGAGAGATCACCAAGGCAGATCTAGGGGTGGAAGTGAGAACAGAGCCTGGAGGTCCAGCAGATGGGAAGAAAGGTATTTCTGTGCCAATATTTGGAAAGGTAAATGAGAAGACTGGGGTAATTACAAGCCTGTCAGTCGGACAGGGAATAGCTGGCCGTTCTATTGGAGTTCCCCGAAAACAAACTTCATCAGCATAACCTGTTCTCTTGATGGAATGATAAATCTGGGTGATAAAGGTAAATTAATAATTTAATGACAATTAAATGTGAAGAGCATTTCATTTGGTACCTCATGACATTATGATCACGAAACTCAAATGGTAAAATCAAACATCTCCCCTATGAAATGGGCTGCGAGCATCACGACCTACAGGTCTCAACCTGCACTGAAAATGTGCCACCACCAGGAGGTCTCCAGAGCATCCTGCAAAAAAAACGGCTGTCGGACAGATCTGAACAAGTGAAACGGACACAATCCTGAATCACACCTACCAGATTCTTCTCTCCTAACCGTGGATATATCCAGTGCCAGCGTCAGCATCTCAGCTGTCACCTCAGACTCCAGTTAGAAGCAGAGATTGCATCCAGGCAGGCCAGGGAGAGCAAATCAAGGGTTTCTGCTCAAATTCAGACATCTACAAGGAAACAGCTTCCTACCAGGGCCAGAGGAGCTCAGTTGCCTAAATGTTGGCTTCTATAGTGCAGCTCCAGACACCTTGGGGTGCCCCACACATCCCTGCAGTGCTGACAGATCAAACACGGGGACTGTGGGAGACTCACGTGCAGATGAATCTAAGGTAGTACTGAGAGATAGTTATTAAGGCAATAAAACTAAGCCCTGGCACTCTAGGTGGAAAGGTCTGGCGAGAGATTTGAGTGAAGTTGGTGTCCTTCCTGCAACCTGTCCAGAGCCATTTGAGGTGCCCTGGAGGCGCACCTCTGTCTCCAGCTGTCAGCTCGGATGTGTGCACGTTGTCCAGCAGTGCAACAACAGGATAATGGTTGGACTTCATGATCTCAGAGGTCTTTTCCAACCGAAATGACTCTGTGATTCTGTGACATCCGTGCCTGGGCAGGGACTGGACAGGCTGCACGGCCACCCGCGGGTGCAGTGCACATGGCAGGACGCGGTGCCAGGCCGATGTTCCTATCTCCTGTAGGCAGAAAGGCCCGCAGGTATCCTGCTTCCCGGGCAGATATTCAAAGCTCTGGGATATTGCACACATATTTTCTCAGCTTCACGTTGCCGGGCATTTGGCACGCTCCTAAGGAATCTGGCTTTGCAGGGCACAGGGACTCCAGGCAGCCGTGTTTTTTTCCTGCTTCCCAGATGGCCTCGGGGAGGAATTGGTCAGCTCATGCAGAAAGAAGCTCCTCCAGGCACGCCCAGCACTGCAGTTACAGGCAGCTGTGGAAATTTATTCTCCAGAAAGCTGAGGTGCCAGGGAGCATCGCCAGATGATGCTCCAGGATCCTGCAACTGCAGGCAGCGGGTAACACACAGAGACATCGACGTAGGGATGTCACATCGCCAGGTGGAACCCTGTTGTGGCTCCTCGACAAGCCCAGGCACAGCAAAGAAAACACAAGGGCACCACTGCTCGCAAGGGCAGGTGCCAGACTGCACCACCACCCCCTGCCCAAGCTCCTGCTGCACTCTGCAAAAACCTCTGGTTGCTGGCAGGTAAGTGACAAATCCAACAGCCACAGGCAAAGCTCTCCAATTCCAGAATCTAACCCCAAAACGGGGGCTGCACCCAGCACCCACCATCCCGGGGGAGATGCCCCCTTTCTGCAGTAATTCCTCCAAAAACAGTGAGCAGGGAAGGTGGTGGCACCAAGAACTGGGCTAAATGCCTGGCCTCCAGCGTGGCTGGCAGCTCAGACCTCACACTGTTTTCAGTCGCTGCTGTACTTTTAATCTCATACAGTAAGCAATTAAACTGTTATCCCTTTTAATTTTGCCACTGATATGTTTCCTAACACGGAGCTCTTGCCCGACGCAGAGAGCAGTAGGTTTAGTGAGAATATAACGGGCTTGAGAGGTATTTGTCAGTGCTGGTTTTCTCAGGTCAGTCTAAGTGCCTGTGCCAGAGAGTTAATTTGTGAATAGCAGGTTTATAAATCAGATGAAGTTCATCAACAAAACACATACTTCACACTAGGAACTCCCCAAGGGTTATACAGGTGCAATCTGGATCCCTAATAAGCTTTGGGCATGGGGTCTATTACCTCTTACTGGAGGGAAGGGAGGAATAAAATCTCAATTTCCAGTTAGTCACAGAGATTTGATCAACACATTTGTGTTAATGATCTGTAGAGTGCAAATTGCGTGAAATCTAAAGAGACACGGAGAGGAAGATGTTACGGACTGCGGGTGCCCAGAGCCCCAGTCCCACGCTCGGCCTCTGAGCAGCTTTTGGGGAAAGGACCATTTCGGTTTCTTTGTGCACTACCTAACACAATAAAGTCCCAGCATATAAACGGGGTCCACTGAGCCTGCTGCTATGTGGACACTAAATAGTTATAAGCAAGCAGGAGGGAACTGTAGCATATCCTTACCTGGCAGGGTCAGACTTTGCATACTGTGTTTTCAAGTATACGTGCTGCATGCTGCGATTAGTGTAGCAGCAGCAGGGTAATTTTTCACACATGTCTGCAACAAAACAACGGTGCAGTTAATATACAGGATCCTGTGCAAGCGCCAGCATCAGCAATTTAACGGTAGCGCCTTGACTCCATCACCGCAGGGCACGCGGGGAGCCTTCGGCACAAGGTGAGGAAGACAGCCCGACCGAGTGCCTCCCCTGAGGTCCTCCTGCCCTCCCCAGCCCTCCCCTCGGCTATCAGATGGCCACGTTTTCCTCCCCTGCCATGTGGCAGCTCTTGTCTGGATGTGTCCCTAGCTGCTCTCGCCATCTGCTCTCTTGCAACTGAATCACCTCGCTCACTGGCCCGGTTTAACTGGAGGCAGGTTAAGAGTTAAAATCCCAGTTTAGCTGTGTTTTAGCAGAGAAAGCTGTGCCCCACTCCGTAGGTATGGATCGAAGAGCAGCTCAGGAAAATATAAGCTTTATTACACATCTGCTCTAACCAGCTCCTCTCTGCACCCCTCAGCAGCACACGGGGCTGGGAAGCCAGTCCCTTTTCCTGTTCCCAAAACCTGGGGTCGACCCAGCCGCAGCCAAATCACCACCAAAGGTTTTTTGGCTCAGATCCACATGGGAATTGGGGATGGGGTGACCAGGAATCCATCTGTGTACGATGAAGCACTGCTGTTGCTTATGGAGCTGGAGGTGCCCACGCTCGCACCCTGTGGTTGCCTTAATGCCCCTTCTTTCCCCTTAGCCCCCTCCCCAAATTGTTTTATGGGCAAAAGGAAGCCCCGCAGTGCAGTGTTCAACCAGAAGACTGCATCCGCATGTGAAGGCACTGCATTTGCAAAAATAAATAAATTCAATTTTGCCTTCTCTGTACTTGGCCCCAAATTGGGCAAAAACACCGTGTCCCGTCATCCTGCCTGATTTGAGGATTTGTTTCTCAGACCAGGAATTAACCAGAGTGGAGATTTTTTTAAAGTCTCCTAGCTCCATCAGAAATGCCACCACGTTACAGAACAGGAACAGGAAATCTCTTGGTAGGAAAACAAATCTAAGTTTACCCTGCCCTCATGCTTGGTGGAGCCGCCCTTCTCCAGCACCAGCCTTTCAGACCAGAGGCACCAGACCTCGCTGGCCTCACCACTGCTCCGTGGTACAGCTGCCAGCTCCCTCCCTGCCACAACCCAGGAGCCCTGATGCATAAAATCCACTTGCTGTCAGTCCCGTGGATGCTCCTTGCCTCGCACAGCCTATTAAAACATTTCTCCCAAACGCTCTCACAGCTTCCAGGCACCTTCAGCTCCAGGCTCCTCCGTAACCGCATCGTTTTGCACCGCCAGCAGCTGAATCCCTGCTCAGAACCCCGGGGCCAAGCACACCTCTCCCCCCGCTCCCTCTGCACCTTCAGAGGAAGGGAGAGGCTGGTTGTGGAAGCGCAAATTGGTGGGATAAGCTGGTGCTCAGCTGAGCCCACTGAGCTCTCCTACTTATTCCAAGTGAACTGCTCACTTTGAAGGGATAAACAGTCTGATTAAACTAACAGCTCTTCCTTCCTAGCAGTGATTCTCTTTGAAGGATATAGGCAAAGCCAGAGCGAGAGCAATTTCTAGCAGCAAATCCACTGCTGACTCCTCCTGGGAGAGAGGCCTCTGTGCAGAACGGGAGGAGGAGAGCCAGAGCGGAAAAGCTGGTGGAGCTTTGCTTTCTATCAAGTAATCTTGTTATTGCAATTTCAGAGCTAAATGGTAAATAGGCAGGACTGCTGGGCAGTGCAGCAGGAAGCAGGCCTGGGTCACGGCGTAATTTAGCTGATACAAACAATAACCTGTGCCTGGACAGTCTGCTGATACAAACCTCAGGGTACCGGCGGAATCGTGCCACGCAGTCCCGTCGTCCCAGGATGAATCCAGCTGTGCTGGGAGGGCTGATATGGGACAAGTAGGAAAGATGAACAGATAATTAGTGTAAATCAGCTCAGGTGTACTAACGGGTCTTACCAGGCTAAAAAGGAACCTTAGGGGGGCTGTTCTGGGTCTAATGTTCCCTAATGCTTACCCCGATACAGAAGGGTGGTGGGGAGGGTGGAGGAGATGCAGAGAGCACCTCGCACAGTGGCCTTGGGTGAACCTGAAGCATCTTTATCCAACCTGACAGGACGCAGGCACACTGAGGGCGATTTGCATTTTCCAAGGAGAGGCAATGTTATGTACCCTCCTGACCCCGATCCTTCCCAGCTCCCGAGCCCTTCTCTGAGCCAGGAGCTCACATCCAGCCTGCTCCGAGTGCCAGCAGCCCATCCTGCCTCTCATCCAGCTGCATTTGCTCCTGCAAGGAGCTCAGCACCTGCAGAGCTCACCGATTTCACACCGCCGCGGTGCACTGTCTGTGCTCCACGTCTTTATTTCCAGGCAGATTAACCAGTCTTCTGTGGACAGCTACACATTACATTGTTTTGTGCCGCGTTTCTGCACCACTCAGTGTGGTTTATATCTTCATCATTCAGTGTACAGCCTCAGGGCTTGTTTACTACACATCAAACCCTCTTCTGAATAGGGAATCTTTTACTTCCTCTTGCGCTTATCTATTGCTCTCATCACCCGGGGAAGTAAGCCTCAGAAATATCACAGAGGTTGCAGATTCTTGTGGTGCCCTCTGACACGAGATGTATTCTCCTCCTGCAACCTGCTCTTAGACATGTCCCTCCGAAGGCAGTCCTGTGGCATCCAGCAGCACCAGACTTAATTCAGCGCTCACATTGCCAACGCAGCTGTGGTCCTGCCAAGCCCAGACCCCCTTCCCTCGTTGCACGGTGCTCTGAATGCAGCAGGTGTTCCCAAAAGAAAAACAACTTGTCCAGGAAATTAGAGCGTGAATAGTACAGTTTGCTTGCCACCGGCAAAGATAAGTTATCTCATTTCTGGTACCCCGTAAGATCTCAGTTCTTGTCTTAACCCTCTCAGCGTGCTCATAACAGGGGAAGGTTCTTATCCAATATCTCAGCTTTCAAAAAGAAGAGGGATGTATCACATCCCACTGTCCTCTTCCGCCGAAGTGCACTGATACAATAATCACAGAAATGTTTTGGTTGGGATGGACCCCAGAGGTCTCTCGTTCAACCACGGATCAGAGCAGAGCTGAATTACATCACTCAGAGCCTTGTGCTTTTGAATACCTCTGAAGATGGAGATCCCACCGCCTCTTTGGCCTCGTTCCCAGTGTTTCACCCCCCCAACGGGGAAGATTTTTTCCTTCAGACCAAGCAGAAATTCTCTTGTTCCTAATTGTGTCCATTGTCTGCCACATTTCCAGTGTGCACCGAGTTTGGCTTCCTCTCTCTGAGTATCCATGAAGTAGCAGGAGACGGCAATTAGATCCCCCCTCACGCCTCTCCCCATTTCCCATATGCTTAAGCCCACAACCATCTTCATGGGTCTCCTCTGGACATTTATCCCATCTGTATTTTACAAATCGAGGCCATGTCAAAGCCTTGCTGAAGCCCAGGTATGCGATATCCCCTGCTCTCATCTGTCAGCTCCTCACAGGAGGCAAATCACTCGGCTGGGCAGGCACAATTTGTCCTTGGTAGCTTCACACTGGAGAGCTCAGGTCTTCCTCGAGCACCACAGGGTGACAGCAAGTCATCGGCACCCTGAAGTCGCTGCCAAGGGGAGTCTGCCATTCCCAGCAGTGAATTCTTCCTCCTCAGTCTTGCACATGCTTGGCTTCGTTTCCGCGTGTTTTGGTAACACTGCCTTCTTGCTGGTTCCCAGCTGAAGTTTGGAAGTTGCCCAGTAGCCTCCTCCAGCTTCGGTTAACAGAAAGGGCTGTTGTTTGCTACACAGAGACGCCTGGCTTCATCAACCCTTTAGCATGTTTCGTTAGAGAGCTCAAGCTCAGGTCACGCAATGGGCACTGACCAGCAGGCAGCAGCTAAACGCAGCCAAAACCACGTGGGGCCCAAACGAGACCTGAGGCTGTCTGGTCAAGGCAACCCCCCTGGCCATCTACAATAAAGACAATAGGAATATTTAGTGGGGAACTAATGAAATCCGAGGTTCCCTCTTTGGGCCCAGACTGGGGAAGAGCTGTAGCTGCTCACCGGGACTTGAAAGACAGTAAATGCATGAGTTTGAACCCAAATTTCCTTTCTTGGTACAGCTAAATCTTTCCGTTCTTCACTGCTTTTCATTTTTTTTTCCTACCTAGAAAAGTTTAATTAGAACAACTTAACTCTAGTTGCAGACAGCTGAAGATTGGGGCTTTGCACTGGACTGAGCAGAGAAGTGGCACCGTGGGCACAATTTTCTGTCTTCCTGCTCCGTGCCGCATCCCGCAGCAATCACACACCTCTCTGCTTATGGCACAGGTTGTGCTCCTGTCACACCCAGCGGCCCCCTTTCCCCTGCCCACTCACAAGGCTGAACGACATTTCAGCTTTCCAGCCTTAAAGCCATTTTCCAGTGCTCCGTGTGACAGCCCCGAGGTGCCCCCAGATGTCTCCCATGCTCTGCTGGCACTTGTTTGTCCATGGGGTCAAGCAGCTCTGCAGGGTCAGTTCAGCGTGGACTTCTTTCTTACTTCCTTTTCTAGCCTGAAACTGAGAAAAAAAAACAAATGGTTTTGCACCTAATAATAAAAGCTGTGAAGAGTTAAAATGTCCCAGGAGTAGAAGGAGCTTTGATTCATTTCTTCACATAAAAAGTTTCTAATTATACTGAGTCTTATCTCTGTGCTAGAGCGGATTCATAACTCTGCCTTTGTCCTTGATGTGCTCAGAAGCACTGGCTAGATTTCGGACAGTGTGGGGGTGACAGTTTAGGAGAGAAAAGTAGTTCACTGGGTATCGTTTGGGGAGGAGGGGCGCTCAGCTTCGGGAGCTCCAGGGATGGGTCTGGAGAAAAGGCACGAGCAGTGACGGAAGCATCCTGGTGCACGTGGTGCAGCCACAGGCTGGATGACGTCCCGAGGTCCCTTCCCACCCGGATTTTCCTACAAGCACCTGATGTCGAGCAGAAGGGTCCATCTCCAGGAGCTCCCGGCACAGGGCTAGGACGCAATCGATGCGCAGATGGGAACCCGGTCTTCTCCCCGTCATCAGAGGCAGCAGCAGGCCCACACGCTCCAGCTCTGCATCCTGAGCTCCCAGGCGTCTCCGGAGAGCTCGCGCAACGGGAGAAAGCGCAGGCACTTCTGCTAGGACAAACCAGTCAGCCAAGCACTTAAGCAGCACTCCAAATCTCCTTACATAACTTCCGAAACAAAGGCTGCCCATGCAGCCGCTCTAGGCAGGCAATCAAACACGCTCCCTCCCACACAGAGGGCACGTTCTCGTGACAGGTTCCTACATCAAATTTCCACCTCGGGTTTTCGCAGAGGGCCCAGGCGCACTCACACATGCGTGCGCACACACGCACGCTGCCCTGTGTGGTTATACAATGCCTGATTTTTGCAGTTCAACGCCGAACGCAGATACAAGAGATGCGATTCGCGATGCGAGTTACACGTAGTTCAAGTAGTGATAACAGCGGGATTAACGGTGACCGGACCTGCTGCCATCGGCCACGCAGACACAGAATAAAAGCTCTTGCACTCGGCAGTGTCAGAGCAGGAGTCAGCAGAGCCTCTCCTCTCCCCAGCCCCTGCAGCCCTCGCTGGGTGGTGGCAAGCTGCAGAGGGCGATTTGCTCCACGTGCTTTGGAGAGCGTCCTTCCCAGGATGGATGCAGCAAGCAGCGGTGATATGGACAAAGACAGAGAGTGAGCAAATGCTCTCGGGGCTGGTGCTCGAGCTGGGCAAATATCGGAGGCAGAAATCCAGTGCTGTGAGTGGAAGAGTAGGTCCTGCACCCCTCCGGCCCTGCGCTGCCCCATGAGCAGCAATGGAGAGGCCACAAAGACATCATCCCCCTCCGGGGAACTGGCACAGCTGGAAACTTAATGGCAAAAAGGCAGTGGTTCTGCAGCTGGAGTCATTTCCCTGAACACGTCACCTTGCGACCACGAGCCCAGTTGTGCTGGCTTATGAGCACAGCAGGTCTGCAGCAGAGGAAGGAGAGGCGGGGAGGAGCAGGCACTCCTGCTTCCAGGGAGACATCAAAAAGCAGCGAAATCTACAAAGTAGCTGCTATTCCTGATGTACTTCCTCCTCTCTGTACCCTTTCTCTTTGCTCTCAGCCTGGCGATGCCCACGGAGGAGTGATGGGTTATTCCAGCAAAATCCCAGACGAGGCCATTAGCTCAGCAGCGGCGAGCTGCTGCGAGCACAGCGGAGCAGCCATCTCAAACACTGAGCCTCACTAAAAAGGCTTCTCCGGCGGCGCTGGCTGCTGTGGCACACCCAGGGTAAGGCTGCAGGTAACGGTCTGCCATCCGGGGACGTGCCTGGCAAACCCGCTCGAGCAAAAATTCTGCAGCACGTATTCATCCAGAGAGAAAAGCCAACCGTGGGAGTCGGAGAACATCCCACTCAAATGCACACGCACGCACACTTACTGCCTACACGGCTGATTTCAGCTCTGGAGAAGGGCCAAATCCCCATCAGTGCTGTGAGGTCCCACAAGACCGGAGCGAGGATGTTGCTCAGGGCAGCGCGGGTTCGGTTTTCCCCCCGGCGCAGAGCGGCTCACGCCGAAACACGGCGCTGAAACGCGCTGCCGCTCTCCCAGATGATTTTATTTTCCCACAGAAGATCAACATCCAAAAAAGGTAGTTTGGAGACCAACTCTCAGAAAGCAAGAATCCAAAGTTTTAGTCACTGATAAATATTTTGGTTCTAGCTTTCCAACTGTGTCTGCTCCGATGAGAAAGCAACGTTTGTCCTCATCTAGGGGTCAGTGTGTTTTGCTAAAAGCACAGCATGGCAAATAAATCTCGCTATTCCGCTCTGAGAGCTGCTGAACGGTGCCGTGACAGAAACCGTGCTGGCCCCTGCGGCTCTCACAGCTCCAGCCTTGGGAGCTGCCCTGCCTGTACCCGAGATGCTCACCTCGCCTGGGGCTCTGTCTCTGGCAGAAGAGGAGCCTGGCCGCTCCACGGGCATCCTCCTTCTTCTCCCCCAGCATCCACGCTCGTTGTGCCAGGAATGTGAGAGGAGAAATCCCCGCCTGCTGCCTTCGGTCTCTGCTGATGGACCTGTTGCCTCTGAAGTTTTCTGATCCCTTTTTGACCCTGCTGTTACCGCCTTTCCTTTGCCTCCTCCAGCAGCAAGTTCCTCACTTTTGCTTCCCGCTGTGGAAAGCTGAACTTCCTTTTATCTGCCTCAAACAGCTCTCCTCCCGGATTCATCAAGTGCACGTAGTTCCAGTGCTGTGGGATTTGGTGAATGACGGCTCTGCCTTCGTTGTATTCACCACCTCCATGGTGTTGTAAACCTCAGCCACGTTCCCCCCTCTCACCACCTTCTCCCCCTTCTTCCGTCTCCTAAGGCAGCTGCTTCAGCCCCTTGCTCATTTTAGCTGCTTTTCCCCACCTCTCTTTAACGTGAGATGCAGAGAGCAGAGGGTTCCAGGTGATCCCAGCTATTTCCATTAAGCCCCGGGGTGCTTAGGACGAGGGGGATTTTTCAGACGAAGGACATACGGAGTAGACACAAGAGCGAGTAATTAATTACAGGAGAAGCAAATTACTTCAGCACTGCCACCCACGGAGGCACAAAACCCGGCTGTAATGGGAACACCCCACGCCTCCCCAGGTCATTTACCTCTATGGCAGATGGGGATTAGCAGCCTTCTAAGCCAGGCTAAGGACTCCACAGTTAAGGGTGTAGTTTGCGCTCACTTATAAGCCTGATTTCACAGCCTACATTTCTCAAAAAACCATCTTTGCGCTTGAATTTCACACACGTTATCTGTGGCCAGAGCAGAATTTTGGCAAAATGCGAGATGAAGGGAAGAGAGGAGAGTCTCTGCTCCAAGAAATGTCTTCTCTGCAGACAGCTTGGCAATTCGTCCTCTCAGGAGCAATTCCTGACGGCCAGGGCTGAGATGACAGCAGGGTACAATCTGGGACCACCAGCAAGAGTCACCGATGTGCTCCTCGATACCAGAGCCCAGGAGGCCCAAGTCCCAAATGGCTGAGGATCCTGCACAGCATCCCAACGGTTAATCCTCTGCACTGCTCAAATCTTGCCCCCTCTTTCTTGTTTGAATCTATGCTTCGCTTCAGCCACTTGACCTTCCTCAGTCTCTAGCTGGGATTATTCAGCCTTCCACCGTCAGAAATCTTCTGCCCTTGCAGTGAACTGCAGATGAAAATCAGATCATTTTTTGGTCCCTCTTTAAAGCACGTCGAGCTCTTGGAGCTTTCTCTCAAAAGCAGACTTCCTAGCCTCTGAATTTCACTTGTGGCTGTTTTCTCTGTCCTTTCCAAACAGACTTTTTAAAGGTAGGAGCACAGTAGCTGGACGCAGCATCCATCTCAAACGCAGCATCCATCTCAAACTCATATTTGTCGTCTATCCTTCGGGATCTTTCTTTTGTGTCTTCTTCCAAACACTGGCTCCCTGTTAGGGAAATGTGGAGGCTGGTTTGCTGGATGTCATTTTGCAATTAGCCACATTAAAATGAACGCACCCTGCTCAGCAAGCCCACCTCGCCACCCAGCCCAGGTGACTCCCAGAACTGAGCAGTTGCTGCCAGCTTCTTTTTTAGTGACCTGCCTCCATACGATTAGTGAGAAAATAGCCCCGCGGCAATGGCTCTGGCCTCCAACACTTGTACTCATTGATAATTAGGGCATAAAACCAAGGTGGGAGCAGCTGCAGCTGCAGAGCTGGGCTCTCACTGACTTACCAGTCTCCTTCCAGATGCAGTCACAGGATCGGTGAGGATGAGGCAGGCAGGTATCACGCTTTTCCTGATACCTTTCCATCACCCTGAGCCAGCCGTACGAATATTTGCAGCCCCTAATTCGCCTCTCCTGCATCAACTTGTTCAGCCTCTCCCGGCACCCAAGGTCTCTGCAGGACTCCGGCACTGGCCACGCAGGAAAACTGCCTCTTTGCTCCCACCTCAGTTCTGACCTTTCCACCAATCACTTCTACTTTCCTGCATTTTTTTTTCCTTAGTCTATGGCTGTTTATTTTCCTTACAGCCCTTTGGTGAAGGACGTTATCTAAGGCACTTTGGGAATCCCAATAGAGTCTATTAAAGAAATTGTTCTTGTCTGGCCCTTCAGAGAACTCTGCTGCCTCTTCCCCAGTGATTCATGTGCACCCATTTGCCTGCAAACGCCATTCTTTGGTAGTGCAGAGCAAACTAATGCCAACAAATACTTCTCCAGATCTTTTTCGGAACGCATTTGCAAATGTGCAATATTTCGGCCTTTATATGCAAAGCCATGTTTGAGAGAGCTCGTCCAGCCTGCCATTTCTAATTCGGCAGTCCCATTCTTGGCTTTCTTAAGAAGTCTGAAGCGAGACAGCCCAGCCCGGATGGTTTATCATTGTCCATTTTGTCAATTGGATCCATAATCTCTGCTCCAGGCTTTTCAGTTTTGGACATATCCTCTGATGAGCCTCCACGAAGGTTAATTACAGCATGGGAATCTCCATGTTTTCTTCTACAATCAACAATAATGCAAATAATTGCTTCAGTTTCTCTGCAATGGGATCGTCTCTTCTAATTGCTCCTTTTATACTCTGATCATGTTCTGGCTCCGTCAACTCCTTGGCACACTCTTTGTTTCTGATATATTTGAGAAAAATCTACTCTTTTCTTCTTTGGCTGTTCCTCAGATTCTTTCAGCTCGCCATTTGGGCCAGGAGCTCAGTGACAGATACCCAGACCAGGTACCCAGCACTACCATAGCCCCAGCTGGGTCCAGCCATCCTTTCCACGAGGTTTCTCTGGTTTTTACTGGTTAGTTTCCCCACCTCCTTTGGGTTGCAGCTCTCCTTCATACAACATTACTCACCCTACGGTGTCCCAGGGATTGTCTGCTTTGTCCAGGCTTTCAGTGTGCCCGTTTGTGTTCATGTCTTCATTTAGGATGTGCCAATCCATTCTTCCACTTCCCAAGGCTCTTGGAGATCTAGAATATACCTCAATTTTAATCCTCTGGATAGCTTTCTTCTGGGCTATGTGACTGAGGCTAACACTGTAACCAGGCAGCTCAGCAAAGGAACTCAAAAGCCCTACAGAAGCTTTAAAAGCACAGCATTAATACATTTATTTCCAACAGTTAAGTCTGTAATCTGACCAAGAGATACCACCGGGGTTTACAGGGCAAAACTTATTTTCCACGGAGCAGAAGTGGCAGCTAGCAATCTGTAATCTGCTACAATCTGCTCCTCCCAGAGCTCCAGCATAAGATTTGGGCAGGGAACAGCCTTAGGTCAACAGCTTGGCCACAGGGCAGAGCTCTGCATCCAGCACCACAGCGTGCTTCAGCATCGTGCCGTATCTCTGCAGCTCAGCTGGGACAATGCTGTCCTCTGGCGAGAGAGCAGCCCGGCCACCAGCACCACCAGGATCAGGGCAGTTCGTCATTTAGACCCGCAGAAGTGGAGAAATCTGACAACATTTGTCCCCAGACAGCTCCGTTGTCTTATTTTCTGGTAAAATTGCTGAGGGCCCGGCACAACCACGCTGCTGGGGATGTGGCAGCTTTAACCATGCAGAAGATGTTACAACAAGCAGAGCTGGCATGTAAAGAAACCATCTCATTTCACAGGAAAGCAAAACCGAGATACAGATTTGCCTGCTCAGTGGCTTGACGTTTGTCTTGTGTCACGGACTCAGTCAGTCAGGAAAAACATGTCATGTTCCCGTTACCTACCCCTTTGTCACTAGCCCACGGGCATGAGCTCAGGCACTGCCGAAGGGGTTCCTGCTCTCACACTCGAGGAGCTGCAGGCACAGAAGTCCCAGTTAGCTGCACTGAAGGCATCCCTTCACTCCTGAATGTACCTTGGTGTCTCCAGGAGCTTCCTTTTCTCTGCTGTCACCCAAGGCTCCAGTGGAAGCCCGTGGAGTGCTCCGGTTTAGCTCTATCTGCTCACGTTCTCCCTAGTTATCAAGATGTCTGTGCCTGAATTCACACCACTGACTTCACGTAGCTGAATTCATGCAGGTCCCTCGTCCATGGACAGGACACACCTGGCCGTTCTGACTCACTGAGCACTGGAAATGTGAAAGCCTGCATCCTGGATCAATCTTTCTCGACCCTGATTTTTGCCACGAACCCATCTGATCCCATTCTGAACACGTTCCGCCTTCTGCATGAAGACGGATTCGGAAAGCGATATGAATGGATCGCATCCATTGATGCACCCACTTCTCAGGCAGTGGGAAACGGCAAAAAAAAAAATAAAATAATCCTCTCTCCCCCTTTATCACAGCTGTCTGCCACACTCCTTCAATTCACCCCATCCCAAGCTGGGCTCTACCCCATGAGCTGTTCTTTAGAGAGAAGCCAGCCTCGGCCTCCTTGCCAGAATTTCGGTACCTCCTCCAGTCCGCTCTATTGCCAGCTGCAACAGATACTATCAACACCCTGTACACACCGCTCTGTTTCCTCTGAATTCTGCTTTGCATCTATTTGAATTGAATGTAATCTGCCATTTTGTGCACGAGTATCATGGGACCCTCTTCAATTTCTTGCATTCAGCCCTAGATTTGGCTCTCTTGAATCATTTTTCCCTATGATTTTGCCAGCTTACTATTCACAGTCTTTTCTGGATCCTTTCTGAATGCGCTGATCAGCATGAATACCAGCACAGACCTCTGTAGGCTTCCACTGGCACCCGCCACCACGCTGAAAATGGACTCTTTACTCTTGTAAACACTTATTAATCTGTGGGCCTGCCTCTTCACCCCTAGAAAAGTTAGTTTCTTTGTAGGTCACTGGTGTGGAAACTTGCTCAAAACACACGAACCTCCACGTACAGATGTATTAACTGCATCACCCTGGCCCACCAGCTCACTTACACCTTCAGAGAGCCTGGATACACCTCCAAGCTTTGAT